GTTAAAAATAAATTTCATGTTAAGAATACCAAATTAATTTAATATAAAATATAATATGTATTGCTAATTTGTGTGTGCAGGCCGAGAAGATGTATTTCATTCTAACCGCCAAAAGTCTACTGTGGGTTACGTTGAGTGTGGTGTCCACCATTACTTTATTCACGGCCATTTACTCGCCGAAATGGCTCATCGGACCTACTGATTACAATTGTCTATCCAAATCGCTATCCGCTGAATGTAAGTTCGTGAAAATTTAACGYATATTGCATTTAATAATATTACACATGAAGATAGTATTCAACCACATAGAAAGCCTTGGAAATATCTTTATTTACCTAGGACACATTTCTCTAATATGTCCAAGTTATTAGGGAAACGAGAAGTGGACTTTAGCCACTTTAGGACTTGGATACCTAATCCCAAACATTTTAAAACAATATCATTATAATATACGTATTAATATTATTATTTAAAATAAATATCTTAAAACCCCTCTCTACATTTGACCCTGCAATTGGCGCATTTAAAAGACTAATATTTATATTGTACGTCTAAAATATATCATTATAGGTACCTACTACTTGCAACACTATAATAATACGCAAATAGCATACACTGTGCGATTTGGATACATTCGCAAATATTGACTTTGAAATTGTATTTATAGTGTGTAGAGCACTATTTCAGTGCATTTAAAATAACCGTCGTATTCTTTGTGTATGTTTACAGCAAACAATACCGTGGACTCGCCGTACTACGAAGTGCGTTGCCGTCCGTCTGTCGGCATTTACTACCGGTGTAAGAAAATCAACGGCAACCAGCACTGCGGTTCGTTCGCCGTCGAAGGACTGGCCACGGATTCGTCGATGTTCCCGTTCGTGTGGAAGATCGGCCTGGTGTTGATGTCCGCTGGCGTTTTCATCAGCTTTTTAATGTCTGCCATGGCCGTGGGTAGCTTTTGCAAACAATCGATAAGCAAGAAGAGCGTGTTCGGGATTGCTGGTTCTGGGCAAGGACTCGCCGGTAATAATTAAGTATATTTTATTACCTGATAATTTGTCTTTTTGTCATAGAATTTTAGCAAGTATTTCATATTATATTATAATATAACGCATATGCGCATAATATGGCACATGTAGACATGTAGTATATAGTATATATAATAATATTATATAAATTGTCGTATTTCACGAGCAGCCATACGCCCATACTCAAGAAATATGTACTTCATGGTGACTATTGTGACGTACGCAGAGGTGTGGCTAACGGGCTGAAACACGTGATATGCGTGTCCACCATAATTAATTGATAATATTTAAACAGTATAAATAATATTTTAAAATCATTTTT